ATAATATCTGAATATCTAATTTTCAATTATTGGGTTTAAGATGTAATGTAATTATAGCACATTCCTGATGAAATTAACAACATCTTTAACAAATTAAGCTAGAAGCCTAGTTCACATTTTGCTTTTAAATCTAAATTACATAATCTGTACTTGGTTGTACTAAAACCATTTCTAACTTTTGTGAAAATATATAACAGCAGCTACTCTTTCTTGAATAGTAGAGAGATACAAGCAGAACTTTAGCTCCATTAATTTATTAAGGATTTGTTTTACATAAGTTAGTACAAGTAGAAATTATAAAATGTCAAAGATGCAGAGACAAACCAGAAATGGTTGTATGGTTGCTGGAACTGGGTGTGAAGAGGCAGTTCAGGTATTCTGTGCTTAGATAGGATGGTCAAAAACTCAAGTATACAAACACTTCCAAGGGCTGGCACATAGCTCAGTGGTTCCGCTGCCTGCCTTGAAAGTGTAAGGATGTAAGTTCAATTCCCAGTACCAAAACACAAAACAAAACAAACACTTCCATATCAGAACCAGGTTGGTGATTAAATTTTGCCCTGTGTGTTTTTTAGGCATTCTAGTGACTTGAAGGGTGAAAGCACCTTTTTCCTTTACATAAACATTTACCTTCTGGAGTTATGATGATTCCTGTATAATATGAGCCAAAGTCTTGCAATTTCCTGAGCAGGACTAAGAAAGGAGAGCAGAAATGCTGCCCTAGCAAGTCTTTCCTACTCATTTGGCAGTTACTCCATAGATTCATAAACTGGCTGTAGTGAACAAGGACATCTATCTGTCAAAATGGCTTATTTTTAGCCTCTAGGGGGGCAATCCAGGAGTTTTCAAGAGCTGTTTATATTGACCTTATTAAAACATTATAGGTATTAAACAAATATTTCCAAATAATAATAATTTAATGATTCTTAACTAACCTTCAGATCCTATACTAGGCCTTTTGTATATTTTTCCTCTTTTAATCTTTACAATCATTATATGAGATAGATGCTATTGTCAAAAATCCATAATTTTGGGCCGGGGATTTAGCTTAGTGGTGCTGCTCCTGCCTCACAAGCGCAAGGTCCAGAGTTCGATCCCTGGTACCAAAAAAAAAAAAAATCCATAACTTATAGAAAAACCACATCCTTATCCAGTCTCCAGCTGATGGGCAATTGGCATGTTTCCAAGTTTTTTAGCTATAGCAAACTGTGCTGTTAGCCATAAAGAATGAGAAACTAGAGTTATTTATAGATAAATGAATGCATATTGAGGCCATACTCTTAAGTGAAATAAACAGCACACATTTGTATAAATACTGAATAGTTTCTCTGGTGTGAAAAACCAAAAGAATAAATAATGTTCAAATTGTATACTTGATAATGTGAAATAGGAAGAAAAGGGCTAAAGGAGTAGGGGAAGTGGGAGGGTAGGGGAAATTCTGGAAAGAAGGGAAAAGAAAAAAGATGAGAAAAGGAAAAAATGTAAACAAAGTCTTTGTAAATAGGGAAGGGTGGAGGGGGTAAAGGGAGGGCAGGGGCTGGGGGCAAAAATAGGAACAAAGAAACATCATGTAAAGGTACAAGATCCCAATAATGGATGTAACTGTACTGTATACCTGAAAAGTACCAATAAATCTAATGAGAAAAAAAAAATCCATATTTTGGTGGGCCCAGTGGTATATTTCTGTAGTCTTAGCTTCTCAGGAGTCTGGGTGCAGGAAGAATTGCTTGAGCACAGGATAAGCCTAGAAAATAAGACAAGACTCCTTTCAAAAAATATTCATATATTTTATGTTATGCATCAATAGCAGCAACAGCTTTTCCAGGTTCTGCAGTCATCTGAACAAAATTATAGACATTCAGCACATTCCATTAAACAAAACAAAACAAAAAAACCCCAACAAAACAAAGAACAGAATAATATCCAGAAAACAGCAAAGTTCTGTTGCTGTTGTGGTACCTGGCACCATTTTTTTTTATTAGCATCTTAATCATCATCTGAAAAGAGAACATTCTAGAGTAATATGATTAAATATAGCTCTGATAAATCACGGTCACTGCTATGTATCATAAAGCAGGTACAAGATATTTTACATTCACAGAGGTATGATACAGTACCGTCCTACATCAATAATACTAGAATCAGTTTTGGTTTGAAATTTGCTTTGTCTGCAAATAAGATTGCTACCCCTGTTTTTTTCTGGGCTCCTGCCACATGGAGAATTATAAATTGAATTTTGGGAAACTTTAACGGTGCTGCCAACTTTGGAAAAAGTTATCCCAATTTACTGTGTTGAGTTGGAATTGTACAGAAATGGACAGCCATGTTTGTCTAGAAATGTTAATTTTTAAAAATTTTTTTCCATGTGTACAGGGGTAACGCATTGTGCTAAATATGTAAGGTCATATCTACATGGGTTTGATTACAGAAACTAATAAAGTATTCTCTAAATAATGAAAAAAAGAATAAGATAAGATATAAGAGCAAGAAGCAATTTAAATATGTTAAGGGACAATTTTCATCTCCAGAATTAAGGATTATTTTAATGTTACATCACTGCCTTTTCTCTTTTACTTTCCTTTTTAGTTTTATTTTAGGATTCCCTATTTTTAATGTTCATATAGAGATGTCTTTAACTGAAATACAAAATAGTTTCTCTGGTGTGAAAAACTGTAATAGTACACAGGATCCTAATGAGATAATTAATAATGTGAAATAGGAAGTAAAGGGCTAAAGGTGTAGGGAAAGTGGGGAGGATGGGGGAAAGGTAATAAGGCAGAAGAAAAAATATGAGAAACTGAAAAAAATGGAAATAAAGTGTTTGTAAATGGGGAGGGGAGGAGAGGGTGAAGGGAGGGCAGAGACAAGGGGAAAAAATGAGAATCAAGACCTATTATGTAAAGGTACAGGATCCTAATGATGAATGTAGCTGTATTGTATACCTAGATTGTACCAATAAACTCAATAAAAAGAAAGAAAAAATAAAAAAACAAAAACAAACAAACAAACAAACAACAACAACAAAAAACAGCTGCAGAAAGACTTTGCCAAGTTGTGGCCGTTTCCCAGAATGCATTAAAAACTCAGGAAGCCTCTATCATCTCTAATGATGCAAGCAACTGCGTCTAGACTAACTTTTAGGGAAAGGTCCATTTGATGAAATTTTCATCAGGCAATGTAATATTTACATGTCAATTTCTGTATAATGTGTTAGACACAGCTTAAAATTGCAACAATAAAAGTCTCAAAATGCCTGCTGTAATAAAAAATATTCATATATTTTAAATTTTTAAAAAAACAATCAAAACTAAAAGATGGCAAAGTAAATTTTCCAAAGTCACAAAACTAACTTACTCCAACATTGACAATTGCTAAGTCAAGTATGAGGTTGTTTCTTCCTTTCTCCTAGCTTCCTATTTATCTGGGTTTATTGACCATGTGAGCTCATTTGTGATACCTCACCCAAAAGTAGGGGATTTCCAATGAGGCCCAATGGATGGAATAATTTCACAGTGCATAAATTCATCGATTTGCCTTTTTGCACATTAAATATTTGCATTGTTTCCAGCCTGTGAAAAAATTCTTGATTAGATATTATACATGTAAATGTACATATCTGAATAATATGGGGGCTGGGGATTTAGCTCAGTGCTTCTGCCACCTGCTTCGCAAGCACAAGGACCCAAGTTTGATACCTGGTACAAAACAAAAAAAACAACAAAAAAAGAGAATATTATGATATACTTGTTATTTTTTATATGTATACATATGAGCATCAGTTCACCAACTCAGGTGAACTACAGATAGAAAAGTAAGTATCATGCTTTCAGTCTGATACGGTGGTAGAAATCTGATCTCAACTTGGGGTTCCCATCTTTCTCCTGTGCAGAGTCTAAGTTCCAAGGCATAAGAGGTTAGGGAGGGACTTCAGGAATTCCCCCAGTCCTTGAGTCCACTGTTTTTGCAGGTAACTGTTGAGATGCCCATGTTTTATGGTACAGTCACGTGTCTACACATTATTGCTAAGGTGTGTGTCCCTGATGTCGCTTGTCTCTCCCCATATGATGCCCTGTGCCACCAGCAGTACCATCAGTGAGAATTCAATTACCGGATGCAGCCCTATGATCTTGGACCAGAACTGTAAACCAAAGAAAACTTTTTTTTTTTTCTGGTGTCTTAGATTGAACTCCCGACCTTAAGCTTGCCAGGCAGGCGGCGGCACCACTGGGATAAATCCCTGGCTGCTAAAGAAAACTTTTAAAAATGATTTAAGAAAAAAGAAACTGTTCCTACTTCCTGTTCACAAATTTCTATGTAATACCTAGAGTCATTCTGTTGCTTCTTTTCCACATATCATCTGCAATGTTCCATACTGTCCAAGACCTTGTCTGCTGGAAGTGATGTCCTCTAAACTTCAGTCTTTTTCGCACTATATTCACAATTTTTATTCAGTTTTGATATATCTTCTATCCCTTATATTTAATATTTTAAAAATCAATTAAAATGTATTTTAAATGTAAACTCTACTATAATAAAAAACGAGTATCACTTGTCATATAGCCACAATAAAATTTTATGAAACCAGAGTAATCGTATTCCAGAAGGATACTATCTGCCAAGTCACATCCTTCCTAGTTTAAACTTAAGTAAACAAACCAGATTATCTGTTCTATTGGGAATAAGGTTGTGAGACAGATGGAAAGAGGGGACTACCATTTCAAAATAATTCTACTGCTGTTCTTATATACTCTACTTACGTATATGGGCAAGATGGTGCGATATAGAGAACACACGATTAAAAAGTCAGACTGAGTTAGAAAGGCCACAATCATTGTCTAGTGTCGACCGGAGATAGATGGTCTTACGTTCTGCATCTCTCTCCCTTGATTCCTGAGCTATAAGGATATGCCAGCCCCTACCCCTGCCTGGCCCACCGCTCTCCCTTAGGAAGGGACTACAGCTCCCACAATACCTTGTGCCGCGCCAGGCATGCCGGGGTGCGATCTCCCGCAGTTTTTTCTGCGTCTGTCCTACAACTCCCACAACCCATCTCGGCCTCAGGCCGCTGCCTGGTTTGTGATGGAGGCCGAGGCAGAGGCGCGGGAGTTATGGAGGGGGCGGGCTCTGCAGGGAAGTGCGTCAGAAGAGGCGCGGGGAGAGTAGGGTGCTGTGGTCCAAACTAGAAGGTGAAGCTGGTGGAGCAAGAGGATGGGCGGTGAGTGAGTGTGGTTGGCGGCCCCGGTGGAAGGCCTTGTAGCCGGTCGGCTTCTCCGCTGTTTAAAGAGGGGCTCTTTTACGTAGGCTGAGCGGTTTTGAGCGGCGGGCTCGATGAGGGATTTTCCTTGGTCGAACGATTTGGGGAGGGCCTGGTCGGTACCGGGGACCCCAGTCGGGGGCGCGCTGGGCT